TGAGTGGGATCATAACGCCAAAGTATCTGTTGCAAACATCTTTGATGGTTTGCAATGAGAACACAGCTATACATTTTTTCACAATCTGAGGTCACGACAAACTTGTGCTGTCGGAATCTAATTAAGATACTAATTAGGTCGTCCTGTACAGTCGGTACTATATTTTGAATGTTGTTAAAGGATAAACCTGACGTGCTTTTTGCCGAAGCGTCGAATACCACTCTTAGCTTTGCTGTAAGACTGGATTCCTTTAATACACCATGGTGAGGTAATATGTATGTATGTTTATCGTTATTGCTGTTCGTATTTAATGACACGTGACCGAGATTAATGTATTCCTGAATGAAATCGCAATATTTCCTTTTAAGTAAGGGGTAACGTGCCAATTTTCTTTCTAATGATTGAAATCTAGTAAACGCCTGATCATAAGATCCACCTAAAACATCATGCGATTGTTTTAAAGAGATTTCTACTATAAATCGACCGTCACATTGTCGTGTCATTGTATTGGCGAAGTGAAGCTCGCAATCGTTTTCTTCTTTAGTGGTTTTACGGGGTGATGGTATGGATTCTAATTCAAAAAATCTGTCTAATTTGTTTTGCAGCTCAATATCTTTTGAAAAATAGCAATAGACTGTATTATTATATAATTGGTTTGCATTCACCCCTTGTGAATGCATCGAACCTGACACCAACCAACCAAATTTAGTACTTACAAGAACTGGGTTACCTTTACCTAATGAAATGCGTTCCTTACCCAATACACTCCAAAATACATTAGCGTTAAGTAATATTTCAATATCAGATGGTTGATTAAATGATGGATCAGCTAATGGTATGGTTTTATGAATATTTAAATGTGCTATATCAAAATGTCTGGCTGGTATCATTTTGGTTATACATGGTATAACAAAGCAATTAATTTCAGTTGTGTATTTCTGAGTACGTGAACATATTGTTATATCAGAACGTGAACTAATATGAAGAGATTCACAACTTAACCCTTCCACTGTTGTCAAGGTTGGATAAATAGATAACCTTAATTTTTTCCTTAATTTATCAGTTATAAAGTTAGAAGTACTACCATTATCCAATAACGCGCGAACAGTGTGACGTGTACCATTACGATCGACCACATCAATGAGTGCTGTGGATAATAGAACGGAATTATTATGTATAGATGACATGACAACCTCGTTAGTAATGTCATCGTCAAAGGAATGTAAATTATTATTGTAGGTATCAGGGTCATTGTCCTCCCGAGCTGCCAACGTGACACGTTTGTCATCTGTGGAGGACACGTCGAAGGGAGTTGTCACTTTGAGTTCAATCCTAGACATGTCTTCTGTATGCAACATCGTATTGTGCCGTTTAGCACATATTCTGCATGGACCAAATCTACATTTATTTATTTCATGCCCAAAACGTAAGCAGTTAAGGCAGAACTTTAATTGTTTTGCCCTGCTGATTTTATTATTAATAGATAAAGCTTTAAAGGTGGGACATTGATAAATAGCATACACACTCCACACTTATAAAAAGACTTGTATATTTGTGTATTATTATAATTATTTGCAATGAATGCCTACGTTTGACCTGGGTCAAACCTATTGTTTCGTGCAAACCTGCACGATCTTTAATAAAGGACAATGGGCATTGCTGCCCATGAGCGGCCATCAATGAAACTATTGTCATTAGAAAGGGGAGATCTTTGACAACAAATATTGTTCAAGGAGTACTATGAAATACCGTTTAGGAAAAAAAAAATAGTTAAAATACTATTATTAAAATACTATTTCTTTTTCATTATTATTTATGTATCCTAATATTCAATACTTTTTCTATTAGAGGTCTAAGAACCTTTGTTAAAATCGGTTTCGCCATGTTTCATGCGTCAACCAATCAGCGACGAGCGCCGCTCGCACTCGGCGACTCGGCGATTACCGTTATGCTCAAGCGCACAGCGCAGTCCATCGTTGACTTTTGTTTCGTTGAGTACTGTGCGATTATTATTGTTTGACAATCTCTTTCGACTCTGGCTTGCATATCGGACTTGTTAGTATCTATCTTGGTGACTTGTGCTCGTTTTTGTGGACTTTTTTAAGCAGATTCCTATAACAATGGCAGATAATCGCCAAGTGTGTATTTTATGTATATATACACACTTGGCGACTATACATCGATCCGTGATAAACAGAAGAAGATACGAAATAACCCGTGCTCGGTTTGAAGAACATCCCGCTGTAGGCCAATATATCTTTGAAGCTCTGACCTCTGAACATCAGGTAAGTACATCAAACGAAATCATTATTTCTTAGTTGTCACGTCAACAATATAGTACTGTTTAACTTGAGGTGGTCACAGTGTTTTAACTCTCGCGCATTGAGATTACATTTCTCTGTAAGTAGTAAGTAAACTGTTACCGACGCGGCGACGTTGTCGTTCCGTTTGATCCACGGGGCGAGAACGGGATAGAAGTATCGGTATTTACGTATGAGTAAGCGAGATAATTAATACTGCTTAGGCAATCGAGTAAAATATTTTTCTTTATATTACGCTTTGTTTGAACAGCGTTCAATGAAAACAACTAAGCGTTTTGACTAATTGTAATACTCTCATTTTCAGATACAATACAATGGCCAGGAGTACATTTGTCGACCATGCTGGCAACGGGCAGAAAGAGCTGCGCAGCCAAGAGAAGACCGTCCACACGAATGTGTATTACATATTGAAGAATATTCAAGACTCCCTAATATAGCAACGCGTTGTATGTATGAAAACTGCAGACGAACGGATCTCCGAAGGATTCCGGATAACATTAAAGTGACATTCTTGATTCATTTTAATTTTTATATTCCAAATAGTGCAAGAGTTTGCGATCATCATTTGGTATCCAATGATTGGGATCCAATAATTTGCAGCCCTAACTTGCTCCACGACTTCAATGCCACACATTTTGTGCATATCATGAGCCTCATGAAAATCGCGGTGCTTCGAGGATCTATACTAGATTTTCATAATATAGATGACATGGACCCAAATGAAGTATACATCCGATTAGGCGTTAGTCGAGACCAATTTATGAATATTTTGGAACAAACTCCTTCATTGTCGAACGTATCAACACGCCCGAAAACATCTTTGGCATGCTACTTAATGAAACTGCGAAGCGGTGAAGCAAATGAAAGGCTGGCGACGCTTTTTAATATGAGCCGTAGAACCCTAGAACGACATTTAACGTTCGCCAGAGACTCTCTTTTACTGGACTTCGTTCCCCGGCATCTTGGTTATGATCATCTCAATAGAATTGATGTAGCTAACCGAAACCTACAAGTTCCAAATGCAATTTTTGGAAATGCAAATGCCTTAAACAGAAAGGCAATTGTGATAGCAGACGCCACTTATATATATATACAAAAGTCCGCAAACTATTTATTCAAAAGGGGTCATACATTCTACACAAATACACGAATTTGTTGAAACCGTTTTTAATAGTGTGCTGCGATGGCCACATTTTAGATGCCTTTGGGCCATATTCAGCCATAGAATCAGATGCACAAATAATGAAAAATATGATTGACGACGAAGGAAATCCTTTCCATTGGTTTTTTGAACATGGAGATGTGTTCATCTTAGACCGTGGGTTTCGCGACGTAATCGACGACTTACATGCCTATGGTTATGAAGCTCACTTACCGAAAACAAAAAATCGAGACGAAGATCAATTGACGACAGAACAAGCGAATAAGTCTAGGTTGGTAACTATGTGCCTCTGGGTTGTTGAAGTTATAAACGGTTGGTTTAAACGCGATTTTAAACTATTCCGACAAGACTTTTTCAATCGTGCTTTGCCTCATATGATGACAGATTTTAGAATAGGTGCTGCATTATTGAATGCTTGCAGAGAACCATTGTCAGATAGCGTTCACGCTGAAACATTTATTGAGGTTATAAACCAAAGAATGAACCAACCAAATAACCTAGCAGAGTATGTCCTAGCCAACAACCTTAATCGTAGACGGGCTAGTTTCGATAGCATTACAGGAAACCAACCTAACATAAGTGATTTTCCTTTGCTGACTGAGGAGGATTTAACCATTTTTGCACTTGGTACATACCAAGTGAAGCTAGCCCGCAGCTATTATGCGGAGCATGTGCGACAAGGTCTCTATAATATAGAAACGTATAGGGATCCCGATGTTACAGGCCTAGGCAGGTACGGCATCACAGCAACAAATGTTTGGCTGCTAAGATGTCGAATACAATCTAGACATACTAGGTCAAAAATATATTATTCGTACATTATAGTAGATAGAGAGAAAAGCGGCAGAGAAGGCATAGAAAACTACTATTGCAGTTGTCTAAGCGGTAAACGCACTCTTGGTTGCTGTGCCCACATTATGTGTGTAGTGTGGTATTTAGGGTGGGCGAGAAACCAAGAGGAAGAGATCCGTTTACCAGCTAATTTTTTAAACGATGTTATTGTAGACGACAATTGAATCCCATCATTTTCTTTTTTTAAAGGAAAACTAGCATTATATACGAGCATTGTATATGTGTCTGTCAATAAATCGATGTATTTAATAACCAATAAACCTTTAGTTTTATTTAATCCATCATTATCTGATACTTAGATATGCATTACGTTTTATCATTTACGTACTTTCGGTTTAATTAATTCGATTTTTTTATATGATCAACGCTTTATAACTTTTTATCTAAACAAGTTGCCGAAATAATTTTTTGCAGTCTTAATATATACATAATTGTCGACTAAAAAATATATAGGACAGATGTGGCCGCCGATGGGACAAGCGCCATACATTTTTGCTCATTGTCCTTTATCATGATAGATGTCGGTGCATATGGCCGAAACAGCGATGGCGGCATATATGAAAACTCATTGATGGAACAAATGTTTGTTCAAAGACAACTGAATGTACCACAAAATAAACCATTATACCAACATACTGAGCCTATGCCGTAAGTAATTGTTGCTGATGCGGCATTTCCTTTTAAAAAGGTATCTGTTAAAGCCCTATAGTAAAGCGAAACTTGTAAATAATGATTCAAATAAGGTATTTAATTATCGTTTATCACGTGCTCGAAGAACGGTAGAAAATGCTTTTGGCATTTTAAGAGCACGGTTTCGCGTATTTCAAGGACCTATGCAAGTACAACCGGACATGGCAAACAAGATCGTACAGGCTGCGTACTGTCTTCATAACTATTTGCGCATAGAAAATTCACATGATTTTGACGAAAATTTTGAAAATCCAGATGCACAAAACGGTTCTCAAAGTGTCATGTCTGATATCGCAACTGTTGGAAGAAACTTTTGTCAAGACGCTATTGCTATTAGGGAAAAATTTAAAGAGTAATTTGTTTCGCCAGATGGGCAAGTACCGTGGAAAATGGCTGCAATCAGACAGGGTGGAGCAGAATGAATACAGTAATATAAAACACACGCACACTCATACATACACACACACACACACGCACACTCATACACACACACACACACACACACACACACACCCACACATGTAGTTCTAATTATTTCATTTTTTTGTATTCTATAATTCCGTCCATGTATAAAACCATTGTCTTCTATCGATACTTATATATATATAACTACGTAAACTCCCTCCGAGGCCCTCACGCTGGTTAAACAAACTTCTAATTTCATAGCAATAATTAGATCACAGACAAACTGTACATAGACAACAATAACAAACAAAACAAAATAAAGATTTTTATTATTATTATTGCTCACTAAAAAATAATAAAACATGAAATTTACCTGGTAGTTTCAATCATTGGCCTATTTCTTCCCACGCTGCTGTTCTTATCAAATGGTTTTTATAATCCTTATTTTTCGGATCATATAAAAAATGATACTCTCTCACTAGCTCAATAAGTTCGTCGGCAGACATCTTGCGCGTATTGAAATGTCTGGTAGCTTGCTCGTCAACACGCCGCGCCGGACTGCGTGAATGCGCGTAGCCACGTGATGATTATACTAGCGCGGAGCGAGCCAACGCGTCACTTCCCCCACCACCTAGCCCACGCCGATCGAAATCGAGCGGTCTGCGTGGCGTCAACTCGCTTGGCGACACGCGAGACTGAGCTAATGTAACCACGTTCATATAAAATGTATGTAACCGATTGAAATCCCACGCGTTGCGACACGCGGCGTGGCTCTAATATAAGCCCGGCTTAACAGTTGCATTGATGTATATCTAAACATGTATGTACAGCGCATCGCCGCTCGCCGTGCGCCGACTGCGCTGTGTCGCTCTGTACTGCATTCAGTAATAAACTAACACACAGAAGAGACTTACCGTTTACTGCTTAACCTCGCATTTCCTAAGGAGTTGGAAACGTTGAGCTTTGAGGAACTAGCTGAATTACTCGATAGTCATTTTAAGCCAAAACAATGCACATTTGTGGACAAAGCGAATTTTTTTAGTGCCAACAGGAAGTCAGGCGAAACCCTAGGAGAATGGGTGGCGCGATTAAGAGGTTTGGCAACCTATTGTGACTTCGGCAGCGCTTTAGAAACGAATCTGAGAGATCGTTTTGTCCTTGGCTTATATGCAGGTCCAGAACGCGAAAAACTGTTCGATCAGAACCCGTCGACGCTCACGTTGTCACGGGCTATTGACCTGGCGAGGCAGGCGGCATGTGCTAAGGAGGCGAAGGCTATGTTAGGGACCAGAACAGAGGAAGTCTCATTTAAAGAAGAACCAGTATACCGGGCGAGATATAAAGGTCAAGCTAATGGGCGACGAGGCGCTGAGGGTACGTCTGGGTCGGTCGTTCGCGGTAGTGATCGGTGCTCGGTTTGTGGTCTTAAAAATCACAGCAGTGATAAATGTCGTTATAAAAATTATAAATGCCTAAAGTGCGGGAAAAAGGGGCATTTAAAAAAAGTGTGCGGTAATTCAAAGTGTACATCGTGTATTAACCATTTAGACTCTAATGAAGGTAGTGTTTACGAGCCGCCGGACACGGATTGCGAAGAGTGCCATAACTTTGACATAAGGTACGTGGCTGACAAGCCTATTCTAATAGAATTAGTTTTAGGCGATCATTTAATTGAAATGGAATTTTTTCACACCAAATATAATGGCGGTTAATTAATTTAAGCGTCTTAAAATGTCATTTATAGGAAACTAATTCTTGTAAATATCTACGTTTTTTAAGACTATCATCTAAGTCAGTTAAAGGCCAGGGAAAGAAAGAAAAGTATTATACAATTATTTGATTAATTTAATTTCCTTTTCTAGATTAGTGTTACCATTTTACAGCCATTTTTTTCAAGTAGTGGAAATAATTTCCAATAAAGTCTCGTAATATGGTAATCAGATAATACTTTCATAATTGTAAGTACTGAATCAATAAAGAATGTAGTTTGCGGTGCATTATTAAACATATTATTTACGTATTTAAGAATCCTGTAGTGGATTATATCTAAGTAAAAAAAAAGTGGCAACTGCAAAAAAGCAAAGATTTTTGACAACTCTCGACAACTCGACAGACGTTTTTTTTAGGCTGTCGTCGTCCGTTTGGTTAGCACGTGCGTCTAGAATTCTTACAAATCTTGTGTGATTTTGTGACTATTGGGTCTTTTTTTTTTGATATTTTGTGCTGTCCTATTGCTTACGGTGTGTTGTTTGTAACTAAACATTACCGGTAAGTGAACATGAACGGAAATAAACCGCCCGACCCTCCCGATATTCCATATCCAGTAACCCCTCCTTTCACCCCTACTCCTTACCTATCCGATCAACCCTCAACCCCTTCCAACCCCTTAGAACAGTTTGCCAATGTGATCTGCAATGCAGCGGTCCAAGATAATTGTCCTCTCGCTACAAACTCATGTAAACGACATGTGAACGATGAGGTAAGTACCCCCCCCATATTAAACGTAGCCCTAATCAAGTAAGAAGCCCGCTTGGTCGTGACAAGTACACGACAAATGATACCGGTCCCTACATTGTGCATGTTTCCCGCATGGAGACCCAATTGGGTTCTGGCACAACTCTCCACCCTGTCTCTTTTGGTGTTTTCCGCTTTAAAAATAAAAAATTATAATGTGGTCAGAGATGGAGTCAAAAAAGTAGGTCGTAATAGGGTGTCAGTACAGTTTGCATCCCCTCAGGATGCCAACTCATTTTTAATAAACCCCTTACTAAATTCACATAAATACACTGCCATCATCCCCACCTTTAACATCACTAGAATGGGTGTAGTATCAGGCATCCCCACCGACATGGATGATGAGGATGTCATTAAATTTTTAACAGTGCCGCAGGGTTGTGGCCCAATAATTAAAGTCAGGCGCCTTAATAGGAAATGTTTTACTGAAGGTCTATTGGAGTGGAAACCTACGGAAACCTGTGTCCTCACTTTAGATAGCCAGGTTCTGCCTAAAAGAGTATACTGTTGTTGCTACTCGCTTCCTGTTCAACAATATATTTACCCAACCGTAGAGTGTAGGAAATGCTGCAGGTTTGGCCATGTGGAGTCCATCTGCAGGTCCAAATCAAGATGCAGCAAGTGTGGCCAAGAACATCCTGATAATGGTTGTGAGGTATCAGAAAGAGAGGCCTTTTATGTGCCCGGAGTATGGTAGACAGAGAGCTATTAAGACCATGATGGCGGAAAGGAACATATCCTACATGGAAGCAAGCAAGGTTGTTCCCTCTCCAACACGCCGATACGCTGATATCCTGAAAGATTTTTTTTTTTTAACGTGTGGAAATCCCCTCGGACCGTCACCCCGCCGGGGCTCTCGTTCGGCGGGGCGGTGTGTCGGACTCGAACCGACTAAAACCACACGGTGTGCCCTCTTTACGCTTCCAGTTTAGGAGGGGTCCAGGTAGTTATCGCCTTCTGGACCCCTCCCAGCGCCGGTCCGCTCCTATTGCGGACTCAAATTTTTTTTTTTCTCTTTAGGCGACGTCCGGCAGCGAATTACGGCCGGTAGCGAGAGATCCGATCCGATGACTGCAGTGAGGGCCCGGCGCTGCGTCGCCCAAGCAGGGCAGACCGCCAGTGTGTGCTCGGCCGAGTCCTCACTGCAGTCGCAGTGGTGGCAGGCTATCCTATGGAGGCGCCAGAGGCGCGCCCTATTCGGGGCGGTCAGAGCCGCCACCCACACCGGTGCACCATACAGCGCCTTGACCGGACAACCCCCGCGTACAGCCGCCTCGTGGGAACACTGGCCCCGCCCAAATTGGGCAAAAGTCGCCCTAGGGCGGAGGCAGTGTCCACCAGCTTCGGACCAAGCTGTCGGAAGTGCTCGTCGAAGAGCCACCTTCCGTCTAGGACCAGACCCAGGCACCTCATCTGTATCCAGGGCCACCCGTAATCCCAACGCCTCAATGCGCCCAACCACCTGGGAAACTCCCGTGGCGGCCAGGCGCGCCGCCTCCTGGAAGTTAGCCCCCCGGGCCGTGAGTAAGGTGTCATCCGCGTAGCACATTACACCCAGCCCGGGGGGAGACGCCCTCGTAGGGCCCAGTAGTACCCGATGTTCCACAGGAGAGGTCCTAGGACAGACCCCTGCGGAACACCGCATGACATGGCCCTGCGTCTCAAGACGCCATCTCGGTCCTCGTACATGACGGGTCGCTCCTCAAGATAGTCTGCCACCAGCCGCCTCAGGTACTCCGGCACTCCGTGGTAGCCTCCGCGGAGCGCTTCCCTGATGCAGCTGAATGGTAGACTATTGAAGGCGTTGGCGATGTCCAAGGACACCGCCAACACCACTCCGCCGCAGCTCACGGCCTCCTCGGTCACGGCCCTAAGGCGCATTACGGCATCGATCGTCGAACGCCCCTCCCGGAAACCGAATTGGGCGTCCGACAGATCGGGGCCAACCTGGCAGAGGTGCCGGACGATGCGGGCAGAGAGCACCCTCTCAAAAAGTTTACCCGCCTCGTCCAGCAACACGATAGGCCTATAGGCCGCGACCGAGTCGACAGGCCGTCCCGGCTTCTTAAGCAGAACCAGCCTCCCGCACTTAGCGCTCAGGGAAGCGTCCGGACGCCAGGCTAGTGTCCAACACCCCCCTGAGGTGGTCCGACATGTAGTCGAGGGCTCGGGCCAACACTCGGGCTGGAACCCCGTCCGGCCCGGGGGCGGTGTTCTTGGATCGAATCCGTAGAACAGCCGCAGTTATGTGTACTACTATTCATGTATATCTTCAACGGGAACGCAGACAAAACAGCGATAGATTGTCGCGGCGGAAGAAATTCTAATAAGTAAAATAATAAGCTAAAATATTATAACTACTCACCTGGTCATCTTCAATTTTCTGATTTTCACATATTCAAGGTTCCGGTTACTTGAGATTACTATATCCCGATGTAAATAAACGCAACATTTCGGCCACCTCAAATATCTTATCCAAGTGAGTGTGTTTTTACAGACCTTTAGACACAATTTTAATCTTTTTACTGAATGACAATTGTGAGAACTTGTTTTTTTTAATTTTTAATGTACACACATTTTCCACACATACCTCACAATCAAATAACATTTTTAAAAAAATCAACGGAACTCAATAACAAACTGTTAAATGTACACTTTTTCAAATGTTAAAATGAAAAATAAAACTGTAATTATATTGGCGGAAAGAAAATAGTAAACAACGCTTATCACAAGAAAAAAGCAATATGGCCCCGGCGAAACACGAAACATATCTGCCAATTAAACAAATAAAACCTTACCATATTCAAAATTCATAATCCGCATACATGATTTATTATATTTCTGTCTATTGTGTTTAGTCGATTTATAGGCAACGAACATTTTCGATTACTCCCGATAATTGCCGAACGGCAAACTTCAGTAGCCTGCGGCTGGAGGCGGGGAAATAACATAAATGGGTGTGTGCGTTTGCGAACTGTGCACGGACACCAAAATTACTATTTTGTTTATTCATTTATTTACTATTAATTAAAGTCATCTAAAACGTACGAACGTTTTATTAAAATGTCTGTGAATAGCAAGTAAAGCACTGCATTTCTGCCTACAAGGAGCGCACGCTCCTGAAAATGAAATAATTATATATACAGGCGACGATAGCTCACCTGGCTCGTCATCAGAAGAAAATGATTGATTTCACTTTTCTTGATTTTGTTGTGATTGAGCTAAATTTATAAATTAAAGACAAATTGACATTTCTTTCCATTGTATCATTTCAAATTGCCTATAACATTAAAGTTTAAGTTATATGTTCTAATTATAACTTAAATCCAATGCCCTTTGTGATATATAGTCAAATCAATCAAATACTCTAGAAGCTTGAATCGATTTATCGTAAGTATCGTGCACCGAGTCGTATGGTTAATCACTAGTTACGCCACCATGACAAATGTCAAAACGGGCTTCTTATTTTGTGACGACTGTAGATAGACGCCAGTTTGTCCTTCATACTTTACACGGGCTTAGGACCGTCAGAAATACCTATTTTATTTAAACTTCTTTTCGATTATTAACCCTTAAATGCATAATTTTTCCTTTTTAAATGCAATAAATCGAAACAGGTAGATAATTAAACATAGATAAAGGTAAGGTTTTTTTCCAAAAAGTATATATTTTTTTTTAAAACTTACTGATGTAGATCTACATCAGTATGCATTACAGTTAATATTAATAATGCAGCCTAAGTACTATGCTATAGGACGATTGTCGTCGAATTAGGCTTACTGCAGTGAATGAAAATCTTTGAAACAGTTATTTCTCTGATTTAGACACAATGGTACATTACATTTGGTACACGACCATTGTGTGGTGCCCTTACAATTGGGCATCTTGCACCGTAATCGATTGGTAAATACAGGCCAATGCTCGAATCCATCTACGCGCACATCTTTTGACGGGAGTGGATGTTGCGGACCTTTTTGCTTTTTTATTTGAAGCTCGCGTTCTAGAGAGGAAGTACTAGGGCGCCCTCTTTTACTACCTCCAGACATACCTATATTACACAGTGTGTCAGCCAAACAATTACGAAACTCTCCAAGATTAGGTAGTTGCTTTTTTGTGACGCCTTTAGCAGTTAGATTTTTTTTCATAAGCACCCATGAATTGATTGTAGCGAGGTCCAGTAGATGATAAAATAAGCGTAAATACCATTTCCGGCTCTTTATTCGAATTCGATAGCGTCCTAAAAAACTGTCCATCAGATCGACTCCGCCCATATGCATATTGTACTCTTGCACAATTTTGGGACAAGGGATGTCAATTTTTTGTTTAGCTTTCTTATCGTATCTTGATACTTTTCCAACAGGCTCGGCACCAACGTAAGTCGATAAAAGAGTGACGACTTTATTATCTTTCCACGCAGTGGCCGAAAAGTCTACTCCATCTGAATGGGAAACGCGTTCCTCATATGTACCTCTCGGAACAGAAGTTTTCATAAGTTCCTTTTTGTCAGGAATTCGACAATTCGGTAGCCTGTTTTGCTGAATAGTTCCGACACATTGTATACCCTGTTTATTCAAATAATTTACCAAGGGCAGGGATGTGTAAAAATTATCAAAAAATACAATATGATTGTTCATCCTTGGTATAGCTCTCGCCAAACGTATAACGACGTTATTTGTTATTCCTAGATCAGGTTCGTCGGCTGGTTTGTCTTGACCAGAATAGACCTCAAATCTGTAAGCATATCCCATAAGACTACAGAGAACAAAAAGCTTATAGCCCCATTTGTGAGGCTTATTTGGTAAATATTGCTTTAGGAAATGTGCAATTTTAGTTGAACACATCTGCTCATCTATAGAAAGTCGTTGGTCTATTCCAACTGATGAAAATGTCTTATTTAGCTGTTCTATCACAGGCCGAAGCTTATGGAGGCGATCGTGATCGGAATGATCTCGCGGAAGATGTTTATTATTATCGTTGAAATGTAAGTAGCTCCTAATCATCTCAAACCGATTTACAGGCATTGCGCTCTTTACAGGATCGTAGCCAAACTTGGAATGCCAGTATGAGCGTACACTAGGGAATTGTTCTACTGACATAAATAAAAGAATTCCTATGAATTTTTTTAACTCCCCAACAGTTATAGTGAAAGATATTGAAAGGTTTTTCTGTACTGCATATAAGTTAGTTTCATCAACAATTTTTTGAAGAAACTTAGGTGTGAAGTAGTGCAAAAAACATTTATATGGTGTATCAAGTTCAGTTATAGCAAACTCTGTTGTACTTGGTTGGTGAATTATTTTTGATTCGTCAAACAACAAACTGTCTTTTTTCCAAATGAGTTTCCTTTTATCAAATTCTACATATTGTTGATGACCTTCTTGCATGGGCAATGAAATAAAAATTTGACTTGATGGGCCAGGCAAATCTTGAACTAGTGGTGGATCAGTATAGGTAGGATCTTCATGGTCCTCTGCATCCTCGTCTTCCAACTCTTGAACTATTTCTCTTGCATTAGCGAAAAAGGTTTCTTCATCTTCACTTTCATCTTCCAAGCCATCCTCAGAAATATTTCCATCTTCCAAAGCTGCCAGAAGTTGTTCTATATCTTTATCTGCCACTTTACGGGACATTCTGGATAAATAATTATGAAATTCGTATGAATAAATTATGTATATGCATACAAATAAGTCAAAAATAAAAAAGTATATTATACCTACAGTAAAACTATTTCTTGCCGATTTTGCATACTGATGTATTTCTACATCACAATTATACTGCTGATATTTACAAAAACTGTTACTGTATTCTAAAAAAACAATAATGCAAAGTGTTCTGCTTACCTTTATCCTCTCGTAAGTCACTTTTATCACGTAATAATACTATTTAGTATTCACTAAAATAAAATTACAATTTGACCGCCAAAATGGGTATTAGAAAATGTGGCGCCAAGCTGTCAAATTATGACAATTAAAAAAGTGAACTGCCATATCGTGAAAGCTTGCGTTCAAAAACTAAAATAAATATTTTTAGCACCTATTAAAAGTAAAAAATACTGTGTTTGAGTTATCGTTTAAAAATTATGTAAGGACAAAAACACTGATGTATATATACATCATCATGCATTTAAGGGTTAACAACGATTGTTCTTTTCACAACAAATCAATTTATCAACGGACTGTAGGTATAAATATTTCATTCGTATTTAAAAAATCGAAGCTATCTACAGAATAATTAACTTACATACCTATTTACAGTTTATTTACACTATTTACACTTCTCTGTATCGAAGCAACTGCTCAAAATGGAGTCCGCTGAGTTCAATACACAACCGTCCACGTTTAATGCAATTGTTTTTTAATTTTCTGAATGTGTCTCTATCACTTTTCACTTTATCAAAAGCATCCACTATCGCAATGCGTAAATTATCACGGCTTTCATATTCCCGTGTATAAACAAGTCTTTTTATTTCCGACCATAAGAAAAAATCCAGGGGCTTTAAGTCCGGGCTTCTAGGTGGCCAAGGCACAGGCCCTCCTCGACCTATCCTCGGTGGATAGGTCGAGGAGGGCCTGTGCCTTGGCCTTGATCACTAAACTCATTGTCCAGGTATGCATGCACTACACTCCGCCGAATAATAATTTAAACTTCCTTAACTTTGTGCGTGAGTAGGCGCACGAAATTGTCCGTGGTCGAGAAGTCGTTGGGTTGCAGCCAAGGTCGTCGGTGTGGAGGGAATTTGAGGGCTTTCAATTCCACGTAGCCGTAGTGCATTTAAATGCTCCGGCTGGGAATATAAACACCGAACTTCTTCCAAGTTGTAGTTGGCAGTAGCCTACAGCTGTACCATTGCCAAGTACTCCACGTTTGAAAATTCGTACTGTCGACTTATTTTAGCGCTAATCAATGTAGCGTGCCGTCACGATGTTATGGTATTACTGACCGACTGAAAGCGAAGGACGCCTCACGATTACAGGTGAGTCCCGCGCATACGCCTACGGGGCATACGTCATTGGTTGGACGACTCCGGCGCAACTCGGTAGCTTTGTTTTTATTGGCTCGACTCGATATTAAAACGCATAGTATTTCTATTTGTAGTATTTACCTACGTTTGATTGAATAGCCCTACTACTGGTTCTCTGTTTTTCTCTGTAAACGATATGAATATCGACTTTGATGATAAAAAAAATATATATAAATTATTAATTTAACGTTATACATAGCTTCTGTTATTGATAAATAATTCAAAATTTTCTCTTCCAAAACGCTTTCAAAATCACCGTGTATATGTGTAGGTATGTGTAATGCTGATGCAATTAAAATATTTATTTTTTATTTTTAGATATCAGTATCTCATCGTGTATGCCATCCATGCTGGTTACGCACACAAAGAGAAGTGCGCCGTATGGCCCATGTTGATAATACTAGATTATTACCTAGTAGCAATGATACTGCAATAGAGGAATCAACGGCTGAATCACAAGAGTATCCTCAACCTGTGGAGACACAAAGAATAGTTTTACCAGACTACAGAAGAGCGGCCAACTCTAATAATCATTGTGTTTTCCCTAACTGTAGTAGTCACAGTTTACACCAGGTATCAGATAAATTGCGTGCGATAATTCTTAAAAATCATCGTTATTACATGCCTGGCCTTGCTCGGGTTTGTGCTGAACATTTAAGGAGCAATTCATGGGAGACACTATTTTAACTTGAAAATAGCATTGATACATTTACTGTTTACCAAATACAGCATGTTTTTTCATTTGTCAATACATTTAACCCTACAATAGATTTTGAAAATGTGGAAGAGGTGGATGATAGAGTTTTTGAATATTGGGTGGGATTTCATAAGGAACAATTTAATAGGTTACTTGAAGAAGTACCCAGACTTGCACAAGTGAAAAGAGGAAGTTTGGGTCTGGCAGTGCTATTGTTGAAAATGAGAACAGGTGATTCAGATGAGAGGAATTTAACATTAGTAGAAGTGCCACGTCGCACTTTGGAAGACTTAATTAATAAAGTGATGGAGATTCTCCTGCAAGACTTTATTCCTCAGAATTTAGGAATAAATCAATTAAGAAGAGAACAATTATTACAACATAGTTTGTTAATACCAAATGGGCTTTATGGTAATGGGAGCAATGCCATTGTCATATGTGATGGCACCTACATATATATACACAAAAGCTCAAACTACATGTTTCAAAAACAAAGTTACTCTCTACACAAATACAGGAACTTATTGAAACCCTTTATGATTGTTGCGTGTGATGGATATATTGTTGATTGTTTTGGCCCATATAAAGCAACTACATCAGATGTTGACATAATGAACAACCTTTTTGCTTCAATGGGTTCTGCTTTTAAGATCATATTTCAGAGAAGGTGATGTGTTCATTTTAGACAGGGGTTTTAGAGATAGCATCAGTGTATTAGAGGGATGTGGCTATAGAGCATATTTGCCAGAATCGCTTTTAGAAGGCGAACACCAATTAACTACAGCTCAAGCTAACTGTAGCACCTGTGTTACTATATGTCGATGGGTGGTAGAGGCTGTAAATGGTCATTTTAAAAGAGACTTTAAAATCTTTAGGCAAGAATACTTCCATGAATCTCTACCACACATGATGCAGACATTTCAAATAGCAGCAGCACTCCTAAACAAGTTTGGTGTTCGCTTTCAAGATAATATTTATGCTAATGAAATATTACAAATTATAAGAGAACGAATGGATTTAAATAATAACCTGGCAAATATGATTGAGGCTATAAACCTGAATAGAAGGTCATCCCAATTCGAACACATTAATGCTGATCGAAATAATATTTTATGCTTCCCCAATGTGGAGTAAAATGATTTAATTCTGTTTGCCCTGGGAACGTACCAAATAAGACAAGCTCGCTCATATTATGGCGAGCATGTACGTTTCCACCTAGGCTACAGAATTGTAGTGTGTAGTGAACACATTAATTCTACTGAGTATAATCTTAGAGGTACTGGCGTGACAATATTAATAAGAGGCAAAATTAAGTCACGCCACGTAACTAGGAAACAATATTTTGTTTAAATTTTAATCCAAAATGGTATTTCTGGCCGGGCAGGGACCTCAGAATACTGTTGCAATTGCATAGTTGGTCGTCGCACTGTAGGCTGTTGTGCTCACGTTATGACGCTAGTCTGGTATTTGGGATGGGCCAGACATCAACAACATATTGTCGCACCTGCAGAATTTCAAGATGAAGTTATTATGAGAGATGAAGAATAAAGTTACTATAAATTAATTGATCTTGTTTTATTTTTTAAAATTCAAAATAACTACTAGATAGATAAATAAAAAAAATTGTTTGGTGCCTCACTATAAAGTCTGAAGCGACAGGCGGCGGATGGCCGCCGCCAATTATATTAGTTTGGGTTTAGAATTTACATGTATTTACAATTTACATTATATCTTGAAATAGTTAATAAATTAAGGAAAAGAAATACATATACTTATTGCAGATCATATTACATATATGCATATGCACATAAGTACATAGATAATTATTTCATGCATCAGACACATTCAAAGTGACATAAAAATATAACCTACAAAAGACTGTTTTGTTATTTTATTTCAATGACACACATACACTTATAATTATGTAAAACAATACGCAATCAATTTGAAGAGTCGATACCCACAAATAAATTGATAAAATAAAGAAAACATTATGCAGCTATGGTATAAAGACTTTTATCTGTGGACACATTTAAAAAGAGTCCACAGATAAAAAAAAATGCAGTGCGTAACTAAGAAAATCAAATGCTAATATCTTTTTTCCTACTCTTTCCCAAACAATAATTGTTTTACACAGATTCTAAAAGAATAGCCGAGTTTTTTAATATTTTTTTCACTACAAGATGATGCAATTTGATACCAAATATTTTTTTTGTATGGAGACCCGCCATTGTTCTTTGAGTTTTAATTTCTGGTAGGGCGTCGGTAACTATAGAATTGCTTGGACATTCTGATTCCTTCTTCCGAAGAAAGCTCGGCCCTGACCACCAGAGATTGAATGACTGTAATGAGTCAGCGTTAACACCACGAGAAATAAGATCCGCAGGATTATCGCGAGTGGGTACGTGCCGCCACGTCGAAATATTACAAGTTTCTATAATTTCTGCCACCCGATTCCTGACGAAAGTTTGAAGTTTACTTGGCACCATTTTTAACCAGCCAAGTACTATCATGGAATCCGTCCAAAAAATAGAACGCCTAACCTGAATCCGAAGAGACTTGATAGCTTTCTCGTGAATACGAGAGGCAACTAAAGCTGCACAGAGCTCGAGTCTTGGAATGGTCGTTGGCTTCAATGGTGTAACACGGCTTTTAGACATTAACAATTGGACTGATATTTCACCATCACTTCCTACACTAAGGACATAAACACAAGCTCCATATCATGCCCGCTCAGATGCATCTGCGAACACATGTAAATCTACGTAGTGATAATTATCACAAACAACACGTCTTGGAATGTTTAGAGAATTAAGTGAAGGCAAATGACTGATTAAATCAACAAAGTCCTTATGAACTTGTAAGGGTTGTTTATTATTCCACGATAATTTATGCAACCACAGTTGTTGCAGTAACATTTTGAGTTTAATAATAACAGGAGATAAAAGACCGGATCGAAAATCTGAGCAATAGTTGATAACACATCTCGTTTGGTAGTGTCACCAAACTGATTAGTGCTTACCGGAAAGTTCAGTTTATCAAAATCTATACTCCAGCTCAATCATAACACTTTACTTGATTCAGAACTACTGAAGTTTAAATCTATGGCCTTATCACTAACAGGTTACTTCAGATTTAAAATAAATAACCTCTTCGAGGCTATCCCCTCCACTTAAAAGGTCATCTACATAAAAATCATGGATGATTATTTCCCTAATTCTTCCATCGGTGCACTCTAATCCTACTTGCTTAAGACAGCGAGTGGCTAAATAGGAGCACTAGCCGTTCCATACGTGACGGTACCCAATTCATAAATATGTAAAGAAGATTCTGGATTATCACGCCAAATTATTTTTTGAAGGTGTCTGTCCTGGGGGTGTACAACTATCTGTCTATAGAATTTACAGATATCAGCTGAAATTATGAATTTGTGTTGCCTGAATCGAATAAGAATAGATAAAAGATCATCCTGCACAGTAGGCCCCACCATCTGAAGCTGATTAAGAGACGTTCCAGTAGAAGTAACGCTGCTCGCATTAAAGACTACTCTTAATTTGGTAGTTAAACTACTCTCTAATAACTCCATGATGTAGAATAAAGTAGTCTACAAGATCTTTATTGAACGGAGATTCTACTTTGGTCATGTGCCCTAGAGCGATGTAGGGTCAAGTGGGGCAATTGCAATAATGGGGTAAATGTGATATCATACTGTTGAAATAGTGATTTTGTATTGTTTATGGTTCGTCTATGATTGTCTATGGAAGTGTCAGATGAGAACCCCGAACCTTTCCTTTTGTTTTGTTAGCTAAATGAACTGCATGTCGATAAAATGTAAATGGTCTGAAATAAAGAGATTTAACAATAAAGAGTGTGAAATATTAAGATGGTAGCAGATGTCTGTGGTTTACGTAGCATTACTAATACGAAATATTGAAAAATGGAGGAAAAAGATGAAATACGATTGCAGATATTTAACGGCGACGCATATGACAAATGGAAGTTCCGATTTGAATTGTACCTGCAAATGAAAAAATGTAATGAAGTCGTAGAAGGAGAAACCAGGCTGTCTACGATCACGGAAGAAGCGTGGAACACGAAAAAAATCAAAGCCAAAAACTACATATTAAACAGCGTTTCCAATACGCAGTTGGAACTCATTTTAAATGAAGAAACGAGAGAGAAATGATTCTTAAGTTCGATAGTATCTACGGCACTAAGAGTTCGGCAAATAAATTACTCAGTAAAAGACGCCTATTAGAACTGAAAATGAACGAAAGTGAGGACCCATTTGAGGCCCATATAAATAATCTCATACGATGTGGGGACACAGTGACGAAGGTAGACAAACTCAATTATTTACTGTTATCATTGCCACAGTCATATTCTTATATAGTGGACATCATCGACGCTCTTCCAGAGCATGAAAAGTCAGTGGAATATGTAAAATCCAAATTGCTTTTAGAACAGAAGAAAAGGGAAACAGACAGAGGGAATGGACAAACATTCAATACCCGAACCGAGAAGAGAAAGTGTTACAAGTGTGGAAAGACAGGACATCTACAATACAACTGCAGAAGTGTAGGAGGTGATACTGGTTGGAGAACAAATCATTCAAGGCATCCTCTTGCATTGAGAGGACAAGAACAAGGACAGTACAACGGAAGAGGCCAGTATAGAGGTAGAGGTCAACAGCGAGGTCAAGGTCACAGAGGTTCATGGAGAGGAATGGCAGGCACATCACTAGTACAGCAGGAACGTATAAACACCTTCAACGTGGAAGTAATGCAGGCAGCAGCGGCATATGGTGGGTCAGGTGAAGATAGACATGAACTTGTTTGGTTATTGGACAGTGGTTGTTCTGATCATATTGTGAATACAGATGATTATTTTTGTGAGTCTAAAAAATTATCAAATCCAGTGGATATTAAAGTTGGTGATGGTTTTGCATTAAAATCTAATAAGATAGGATCCATTGTTATAGATTTCAGTATAAATGGTCAGCAATGTAAAACAAAAATATTTAATTTTTATTATGTACCAAGTATGAAGCAAAACTTATTAAGTTCAAGTATTACTGCTTAAAATAATGTAGTCATATTTAATAAAAATAATGCTAAAGTTTATGACCCTAAAAACAACCTTATAGAATTCTAGGTCATACAAATTTTTATAATGTTAGAAAATTATGTGAGTATTGTTTGAGAGTCTTCAATAATAAGTGAACTGTATTTTATAAGTAATTTATTCGGTTCTAAAAACTCTGATAACATGGCCGCTCGGTCGGGCGATCCAAAAGGCAAGTGTCATGAATTTTGTCTAACAAAAACGTTCGTCGCGTCGGCTCGGCGCGGGAGACGGCTCGCCTCCCCGCACCCCGCAGCGCGAGGTCACGCGCAAACAATACGTATCTCTATCTTAAGATAAAAGTAGTGATCACTATTGTATTTACTGGAGAATAAATCTGATCGTTGATCTAACAACATCTTTAATTTCTCTCTCGACACCCAACCTTACATGGCGACCCTGCCAGTGAGCGATCAGGTTCGCGTTGCATTCCGATCGCCTTATAAGGTATTGTGATATTAAACATTGTCACAATCACATCGCAATTATGAGTTATTTTATATTATTGCGTATTGAGAAGTGTAGGGAAAGGTTATTTTGTTGCGAGAAATGGGTAAGCAACAGTCTAAGGAAGAACCAGTAATCATCGCACAAAATGCTAGCGGTGGTAACAACGCTTCATCATTGGAGCAAATGTATCAACATACCAGCGCCATCACCTGTATCCTGGGGGTGATATGTCTTATCCTGATTGCCGCATTAATATACTATGCGATTCGGCTGTATGGTAAATGTCACAGAGAATGGATACGAAGAGAGATACATGAAGATAACCTCCGACGGTCAAGCAGTTGGTTTCGGCGACGACACGAGACCCATGGTTCACCCCGTACCAAGGAGGATCAGCCAGACGCAAGAATAGTATAATACAGTGTCGATAAGCGGAAGTGTCAGTATATTGCTAAAGGAAAAATATATAAAAGTGTCTGTGTAACGGTGCGATTCGGCAAATATATAGTGTACTACGTAACAGTAACGGTATAGTAATCAGTATAATGGACTTATTTAGAGGACTGAACTTAGTTTAATAAATAAATTCACGGAACAAATTAAGAAGGTATTTGAAGAGATTAAAATTTTGTGTAACCCATCTGTGGTGATTGATAAAATGGAGTCTTTTAATATTAAAACGGCAGTCGCATTACTTCCAGTCATGGATGATAAAGAAAATGTTACAAAACAATTAATTTCTGCTATAGAGTTGTATAGCTCTCTACTTGATGGCAAATCAATACCAAATCTCATCAGTTTTATATTAAAAACCAGGTTGTCTGAGAATGCCAAGTTACGATTAGCTCAGCATTATGATACAGTCACAACTCCTTGTTGATGATATGCAAAAATATTTAATTTTAAAAAAAAGTATTTTACAGCCCTACAAGAACAATTGATGCGGTGTAAACAAAATCAGCGGGATATCGAGGACTACGGTAAGGAAATTGAAAATTTATTTGTTAACTTGACCATTTCGCAGGCCGATGGGGATACAAAAAAGTATGACGTAATTAAACCACTGAATGAGAAAATGGCTATAAAACGTTTTGCCACCGGGTTGCGAAATAGGCACATAAGCACTATTATTTCCGCCAGGAACTATGAAACATTGAAGGATGCTATCCGAGGTGCGGCTGATGAGCAGATATCTACGTGTCCAGAGGACAGTATCATGAAATTGACGAACAGGGAATACACCCGTAATAATATGTCATATTCATCTAGAGGACGATGTTTTCTGGCACGTGGTGTCTACGATAACCAGCGTGGCCAGTTCGGTCAGCGTAGTCATAGTCACTCTACTCGAGCGCGTGGGCAGCAGCAAGGTGTCTACTATAGAGGTAACCGGTACTCTAGAGGTAGGTACATACATAATAATTATGCTCGAAGTGATCGCAGAGGAAACTACGTAACATCAATTATGGTACGTGATACACAAATAACAGTAGGGTGGGATGGTAGCCAATGAATCAAGTGTACCGTATGAGCCAGTACAGGTTGCGACAATACGCGACGTTGCCAGTCCGTGCAATAAACGTGTCTGGACTTCCTTCCCTCGCCGTGTAGAATACGCTAGTCACCGGCCGTTTGCCACCATAAACGGACGCGCGTGTCGCATTTTTGTGTTTCGTTTAGTAAAAACGACGAAAAAAACGCAAGTTTCTTTTTGTAATTACTTTGTTATTATAACTTTTACTAAACTATGAGTGTGTTCTATGCACTACATGGGTTATTGTGCTTATTTGAGTATATTTTTTGAATCGCTTCTATGCGCTTATTGGCAACAGCATTACGTAACGTTTTCTAAAGGGGGAGGGGTACGCAGATAACCAATAACTCTGGGCACGCAATGAACCATGGTTCAATGTGTACTACTATAGCTGGCATAACATTACTTTTATAATATAATTATATTTAATTTAATAGGTACAATTTATTATTGCGGGATAATAGGTATTTAGATATTACTAATATTAATATTTTTTTTCCGCATGGGTCGAAACACACTTGGAAGGGAACGTCGTAAAAAAGGAGCAATCCCTCCTGAAGCCATGCAAAAAGGCATCGAACTGCACTTAAATACAGGGCTGAGTATCCGGAAATCAGCTGAAGCTTCTAACATTCCCTATCCAACACTACGAAGATATATATTAAAATACGTGAAGGATCCGTCAACTAGATTGGAACCTCATTATAACGCAAGTAAAGTTTTTACTGATCAACAAGAAGACAGTATTAAGGAATACATATTGGATTGTGCAAATAAATTCTATGGATTAACGTCTAAAGACAGCCGCAGAATTGCTTACCAAATGGCAGCAATTAACAAAATTGATATGCCACCTTCATGGCAAACTCATGAAATGGCAGGTAGGGATTGGATGAGGGGTTTTAGGGCAAGACATCCGGAACTATCAATAAAAAAACCCGAAGCTTGTAGTATGGCAAGAGCTACAGCTTTTAACAAACATAATGTGCAAAAATTTTTTGACAACCTTAAAGAGGTTTAGAATCGCACTCCATCTTTTGCCAATGGATCTCGAGTATACAATCTTGATGAAACTTCTACCACTACTGTGCAACGTCCTCAAAAACTGCTAGCAGTTAAAGGCAGCAATGTCTGTAAAGTTACAAGTGGAGAACGAGGGATCTTGGTTACCACTTGCTGTATAGTGAATGCGATTGGTCAGGCCCTACCTCCAGCTATGATATTTCCAAGAAAAAATTTTAAGACTCATATGCTGCACGGGGCACCTCCCGGGACCCTCGGTCTAGCCTCACCTAGTGGTTGGATGAATGTGCAATTATTTGTTGAAGTAATGAAACATTTTATCCAGGTATTTTGACGATTGTTTGATATAGGTAGATTTTTGTGTCTAAATTTGATTCTACGTGTGGAATAGATAACATTATTGTATTTCTATTTGTTTTAGTATACTTCAGCATCAAAAGACAATCCGGCTTTGCTCATTCTTGATAACCATGAAAGCCACTTGTCTATAGAAGCACTAGACGTAGCAAAAGCCTCAGGTGTGACTGTGCTTACACTTCATCCTCATACCACGGCCAGGATGCAACCTCTGGATGTTGGACTAAATGGCCCATTCAAGTCGTATTATAATGCCGCGACAGACTCATGGTTACTATGTAATCCAGGTAAAACTTTAAGCATTTACAATGTTGCCGAATGCGTAAATATTACTCAAGCATTTAAAAAATGCGGTATATTCCCCTTTGATGATAAAATATTTACAGACATAGATTTTTTACCCAGTGAAGTTACTAATAAACCAGCACCAAAAAATGAAACAGATGCTGAGGTAGATTTTCAAGAACCCGATATTAATGAACGTTTTGGTTCACCATCTATATTGACGCCTGCTTTTTACGGTGACAATGATGAAACTGACGCAGATATTGAGAATATTATTGAAGAATATCACTATAGCACATCAGTACCATCTACTTCATATGTCCGCCAGCCATCGCCTTCAGTGGTTGATAATGAAGACGTATCCCCTACTAAAAAAACAAACTCTCTTGAAGTGTTTGGTATTCCTAGTAATTTTATTTCACCGAAGATTTTCAGGCCACCTTTGAAGGCAGAACCTCGCAAGAATAGGTTCAAGAGAAAAGCAGGTAAGAGCATGATAGCTACTGATACACCCGAAAAGAACGCTTTAGCTGAAAATAAAAACCCAAAACAAAATAAAACCCGGAAAAGAGCTAACTGACTAAAGTGACTTTATTTGAAAGTAGCCATAAGAGAGTAAAATCAGACACTTCATCAGACGAAGAGGATGAATTTATGTCCAGCGACTCATCTTCTAGCGGAGAAAATTTTCTCGATCAATCAGAAGAGGAAGAAGTTCTTTTATGCGACAACTTCCCTCCATTGTTAAGGAAGCCTCGCGTTGAAGACTACGTAATTATTGCATTTACTACAAAAAAATCTAAATTTTATTACATAGCACAAATTTTGGAAAAATTGGAGGGAGAAGAATGCGATTATTATGTATCGTATTTCAAGTTAAAAAATAAGGTTACACAGACATTTTCGCTACCTCTAGAACCTGACACAGCGGGTGTGAATAGAAAAGATATTACATATATTTTACCACCTCCCATTACACAGGGTACGGCACGTCGACAAGCCACTTACAAATTTCCTGTCGATATGTCGTTACTGAATTTAAGATATTAGTTACCTAGGTAGATACATCCTAACTGAAGGATTGTTGATTAGAAGATTGTTTTGTTTCTATTAAGTTTTTTGTTATTGTTTTGTGGAAAATGTCATGACGGATGTCGAGGTGATAATAATTATTGTTCCTATTTAGTATAGGCCTGCGTACCTATAATTGTGATTTAACATTT